TTAATCAATTAATAATAAATGAGAATAAATGTTAGAATACTGACAGAAGAGGGTGTGGATGTGAGTGTGGGTGTTGGTTTATAGTATCCTAATTCTCATCCACACCCACATCCTACACGTATTTTTTCTCTTACTTTCTGTCATAAAAATCCTTCTCAGTTGTTTTTCTTTCTCTCTGCTACTATACACCGATCTTATGACATTTACTCTTTTTCTCTTGATGTATTATCATAAGTCTTTTATGTAGCCATTTTGAGCCAAACAAAATTAAATGGATTGAAGAACTGCTTTTCAATTAAAAACTAATTCTGTCCTCAAAGAGTTAAATGAATGATAAAAATGACGTTAATCAAATCGTTGGGAAACTTCTTAATAAATACTTCAATTTATTATAGGAAACTTTAGTAAAGACAAATTTCTGCCCTCCAATCCATCAGTTAAAAAATGAATTCTCTTACAGATAGAGTCTTTTTTTCATATTCTCTCTTAGCCTATTCATTAAAGGTCGTCAGGATGAACTCAATCATCTTTCGAGTGTGAGACATACATTGTCGCTTAGCAACAATTTGTTAGATTCCTAAGTGTTTGTGTGAACGTGTAATGTGAATGAATACACGAAATTCTTCATGTTACTGTCAGACAAAAGAATAAGCTGAACCAAAATGTTGCTGATAAATAAAAGTCAAAATTGTTCAGATTTCATCAAAGCCTATGGTAACATAAATTGATGTGGCTTATGTTAACGAAGTAGTAAAATCAATAAAGTACAAAAACAAAGGAAATGAATGAATAAGGACCACTAGTAAATTCTGCTTTACTATTTGTCTAGTCTGCAAAAAAGGTCTATCTATTATTAAGAACTATTCTATTAACATATTTGATGTGCATGCGGAGCATTGATAATTATTTCACTTCAATTCCATCGTTTGAAAATCCTGAAAAAGATTTCGTATGTATCTGATAAAAGCATTTTTTTAAAGTTATGCATCAATAAATTTGACCTTGAGAAAAAAATTACTAGAAGAGATGTAAGTGAACGAATACGTGTGACGATCACTTTAAGTGGAAAAACTTTAATTTTATCAAATCTGATTTTGACCAAAAAGCAACAAGTTTATTTTACCTGTTCATTTGCATTTATGGGTGTGGATGTTGAAAAGTCTCCAGTAACAACCATACTCAGAGCCATATCCACCCATACCCTAACTTGAGAAATTGAATTTATATGAAAAACGAAAAAGAGAATATGGAGTAATACTAACCAATATTAATTTATTCAAGTTCAATAACAATATAATTTTTTTTTCGTTTTTCACATAAATTCATTTTCCACAAGTTACTTTAGTTGATACTTATTTCATTTGTTGGCAGTCACATAAAACTTGAATTTTCATTTTCATTTATATATTGATATTTTTGGTTATGACTGGCATTTCAAAAGGAATTGATGTTTTTCGTGTATGTTTCCAATGGTACTGCAGATAACCTTATTTCAACAACGTTAACAGCTGAAAATGATCAAGAATTCTACTTAATATGAGATACATATTGTCTTTTCGATTTGAATAAATTAAATTAATATTGATTATTACTACTGCATTTTCTCTTTCTTTTCATATAAATTCATTTTCACAAGTTTATTTGTATTATTTATCTTGATATAGGTTTTTATATAGGCTTCAACTAAATAAGAGTTAAAATTATGATACATCTGCTTTTCCTATTCGTGCAAATATTTTTCAGGAGAATTCTAGTATGGTTTAACAGAAAGAATCAAATTTTTAATTACAAAATTCATTTAGGCTCCATTTCTGTTCTTTTTGATAATCTTGGCGATATTTCTTTTTTGAATTAGAAAAATTACTTGAACGTCACGTAGAGTGTTGATATCAATATGTTTCAACATCCATCGGAGAAAATGCAGTATGAATTACAACACGTCATAGTATGCATA